TGCCTACTAAATAATATTAGAGTCGACAGGATTCTTGGGGATTATCTAAGATAGTGGTTTTCCAAAGTATGGGATGGGTATGAAATGAGGTGGTACACAGGGACATTGCATTGAAAATGCATTAAATACCATAGTGAAGAAGTTGATTTCAATCCTCTTCTCATCCTTCTGGTAACATCTAGAGGAAATGCAGTTCTGTGTTCTGACACTTGCTCATCTGCTTTACTTTTTATTTTATTTTATTTTTTTTTGAGACAGAGTCTCTGTCACCCAGGCTGGAGTGCAGTGGCATGATCTCAGATCACTGCAACCTCCGCCTCCCAGGTTCAAGTGATTCTCCTGCCTCAGCCTCCTGAGTAGCCAGGATTACAGCTGTGCACCACGATGCCTGGCTCATTTTTGTATTTTTAGTAGGTGGGGTTTCACCATGTTGGTCAGGCTGGTCTCAAACTCCTGACCTCAGGTGATCCACCCGCCTCAGCCTCCCAAAGTGATGGGATTACAGGTATGAACCACCACGCCCGGTACTCATCTGCTTTTCTATAGAAGGAAAAGTAGGTGTTAGAATCATAGCTTTAAAAGACAATACCTAGCAAAGATATAATTCCATATTTAATTGTAATTATTTTTACAGCTATGGGGAAATAATGCTGGTTTTCCACTTAAGTAGTCATGGATATTTTAATTCTCAAAGTGCATGCAAAATAAAGGTATTGCTGTTACAATAAAAAGGTGGTTTGCTAGTAGGAGAGTAGGTAGATTCACTTCTAAAAAAACAGGTGAAATATATATGTGAAAGTAAAACTATCTGAACAACCTCTTTAAAGGCTTTTGATAAAACTTTCCAAGTGTACATCTGGTGATTTGCTGCTTTAGGTAATCAGAGGTCACAGTGTGGACTGCTTCTGATATAACATGCATGAATGTTCCCTCAGCTACTGGGGAACCATACAATACCTCAATATTCTGGCCTTTTGGCTGGAACCGTCATCTTTCAATAATTTGCCAAAATGACAAACACAAAGGGAAAGAAGAGAGGCACCTGATATATGTTCTCCAGGCCTTTTAGAAAACAAGGAGTTGCCCCTTTGGCCAGGTATATGCGAAATCTACAAGAAAGGTGATGTTGTAGACATCAAGGGAATGGTTACTCTTCAGGTGTTACCATGGCAAAACTGGAAGAGTCTGTAGTGTTACCCAGCAGGCTCCTGACAGTGTTATCAACAAACAAGTTAAGGGCAAGATTCTTGCCAAGAGAACTAAGAACACATTAAGTACTCTAAGAGCTGAGACAGCTTCCCGAAACATGTGAAGGAAGATTATCAGAAAAAGAAGTCAAAGAGAAAGGTACTTAGGTGTAACTGAAGCACCAGCCTGCTCCACCCGGAGAAGCACACTTTGTGAGAACCAGTGGGAAGGAGTCTGAGCTGCTGGAACCTATTCCCAATGAATTCAAGGCATAATAGTGTTAAAATAAAAAGACCTCTGAACTGTTAAAAAAAAAAAAAAATCTGCCCTATTCTAATGGACAGTGTCACTTGTTAACAGATTTCCTGAGACTGCTATTTAGGGCTGTCACATGCATCATCTTTTTTACAACATTTACAATACTCCAATCTGGTATATATGAGCCCCAAGAGGGAATTTCATAAGAGATGCTGTTGTTGTTAGAACTGGGTTTCTCTAGTATAGCACCTCTGGAAAGGGAATGACTTTAACCTGTTATTTCTTTACATTGTTGTAATTAAAAAGCAGTAATATAGATCTGCTGAGATGCTACAAAACTTCACCAGCCTACCACCATCAATGATATATTCCGTAAGAATGGGACCATCCCGGGAAAGAGAAGCATCTGTCACTAGTCTTCTATTAAATTCTCAGCATCTACATCCAGCGCTTCAACTACCACTTTGGCCATCTGATTTTCAATCTCCTTCATCTCCTTTGCCAACTATGCCTCTTCATCCCATGAGATGATGTATAGTAACAGGCACTAAGGTGTGTGGGCTCCAGACTCAGTTTGCCAGCGTTCAAATCCTGGCTCTATCACTTCTGAGATTTAAGTTGTATACCACTTCGTGCCTCAGCTTCCTGACCTATAATAGGATGATGCTATCTATCCCTTGTGGTTGCTGTAAGCCTAAAGGTTAAACAATTTGATCTATTAAAAGACCAAAACCAGTGCCTTGCATGCAGCAAGTTCTCAATGTTAGTTATTTTCCAACCACGTGGTACATGTTGTTTCCTGGATGCCCAGTCTATCCATTCATTCAGCCAACATGTATTTATTGAGCATTTATTACGTGCTAAGCACTGTTCAAGATACTTAAGCTACACCGATGGAAACAACACAGAAAAATCCCCGCCCTTGTGGGACTTTCGGGTAGCGGTATATTTGCTTATATTAATAGATATAACTAAGCAAATGGTATACTATGTTAGAGAGTGGTAATGCTGTAGGACAAAAAATGGAGATGGGCAATGGTCTTTGGAAGATTGGCGAGGTTTAAGATTTAATATATATATTAAACACAATATTCTTTAAATAAAAATCATTTTTTTCCAGGAAAATTATATTCCCTTCTTGATTTCTGTTTGCTGATATCTTTGTTACCCAGGTTTAGAAACTCAGTCACCTTATTTTCTTCTCTATTTTCCCCATAACCTGCCATTAAGTCCCATGTTTTTTATTTTTTGTAGTGTCTCTTGAACCTACTCAGATGTGAGCATTGAGGCCTGGGTTACTGTCATAGTGTTCTAATTAGTCTCTGCTTCTAACCTCTCCCTGCTCAAATCAAGCCTACATGTCACTAGCAAAAACAACTCCCAAAACAAGCTTGACCATGTCTCCTTCTTTCTCTAATGCCTAAAGAATTAAAGTTAAACTTTAAAAAAAAAGTTTAAAAGCTGGCAATTCCACTTCTGGGTATACACTCCGAAGAACTGACAAGGACCTGAACAGTTATTTGTATACGAATGTCCATAACATTGTGGCTATTGTGAATAGCCTTTTCAGAATAGACAAAAGGTAGAAACAACCCAAATATCCACCATATATATAAAAGAATACCATCCTTAAAGAAGAAATCTGGATACATGTTATAATATGGACAGATCTTGAAGACATGCTGTATAAAATAAGACAAACACAAAAGGACAAATATGATTCCACTTATATGAGGTATCTAGAATAGTCAAATTCATTGACAAAAAAGTAGGAAACTGTTTATCAGGGGCTGGGAGGAGGAAGCAATGGGGAGTTATTGCAAAATAGGTACAGAGTTTCAGTTTAGGATAATAAGAACGTTCTAGAGATGGACAATAGTGACAGTTACAATACAGTATGAATATTCTAGATGTCACTGAACTATGAAACTTAAAAACAGTTAAAAAGGGTTGGGCATTGTAGCTCATGCCTATAATCCCAGCACTTGGAAGTTGAAGCGGGCATATCACCTGGAGGTCAGGAGTTTGAGACCAGCCTGCCCAACATGGTGAAACTCCGCCTCTACATAAAAACACAAAAATTAGCCAGGTGTGGGTGGGCAGGTGCCCTGTAATCCCAGCTACTCGGGAGGCTGAGGCAGGAGAATAGTTTGAACCCAGGAGGCAGAGGCTGTGGTTGAGCCAAGATCATGCCACTGCAATCCAGCCCTGGGCGACAGAGTGAGACTCCCCCTCAAAAAAAAAAAAAAAAAAAAAAAAAAGGTTAAAATGGGAAATTTTATGTTCTGTATCTTTTGTCCTATAGAAACACAAGTTGAATTAACAAAAGCATATATTAAAACAAAAGTACAGGCCAATACCACCAAAATTGTTTTATTTTTGGCACTGACAACAAGCACAACACTGCAATTGTATCATTATTTTGTTTAGTTTCTTAAATATTACTTAAGTGTGCATTAAAAATATATGTCTACATTTTTTTTTTTTTTTTTTTTTTGAGACAGAGTCTTGCTCTGTGCCCCAGGCTGGAGTGCAATGGCGCGATCTCGGCTCACTGCAAGCTCCGCCCCCCCGGGTTCACGCCATTCTCCTGCCTCAGCCTCCCGAGTAGCTGGGACTACAGGCGCCCGCCACGGCGCCCGGCTAATTTTCTTGTATTTTTAGTAGAGACGGGGTTTCAATGGTCTCGATCTCCTGACCTCGTGATCCGCCCGTCTCGGCCTCCCAAAGTGCTGGGATTACAGGCTTGAGCCACCGCGCCCGGCCTATGTCTACATTTTTAAAATGTGACACATTAAAGAAGTCCTCTGTAAACACGATCCCTTCACAATGTATTTTCCTGCTTTGTTTCATACATAAATAACTTAATCTACAAAGTCATAAATAATACTATCAACTCTTATGGTCTGGAAGTATATACAAATTTTGGAGTTTTACAAAAGTATTATTTATGATTTTATAAATAACACATAGTATTTGTAGTGTTTTTATCAATCAAATGACTTTTTACAAATTCCTACTGTCTCCTCAACCTGTTTCACCAGTAACAGACCTTCCAAGTTGACTTGGTAAAGATGCCAGACATTTAAAAAGTCAAAATGGTCAAAATTCTAGATTAAAAAAAAAAAAAAAATAGCAGAGAAGGTTGCTATTTAAGTATTACTAAATCTTAATAAAACCTCTTCAGCTTGTCTGAAAAACAAAAAATGCTACTAAAGAGTGAATGCTTGTACAATCATATAAATGGTACCCAACAAAATCTAAAATTTAAGAAATAATAACATCAGATTAAATCCATATTAGTTTTGCAAAAAAAAACTTCCCTTGGGTTTTTTTTCCGGGACCGGATTCATTCTTTTTTTCCTTTTTTTAAATTTTTTTTTTGATTTTTCCTTGATGAGTTAAAATTTTAAGGGCAAAAATAATGACAAACAAAAACCCATACTTAAGATTCCTAATACAGAACATTTGATTGTTTAGTTTTGTTTAATGACTGCAAATCCTTATTTCTTCAAAAAATAGCAAATATCTTTTGAAACACATCACCCATCTAATAATTTATTAAATAACCATTCAAGATTTATTAGGTAAGCACTAAAATTACTTTTATGTAATAAAAGTAACTAGGAATTTTGCATGTTTGCTATGTTTCATTTTACAAATTATTTTTTTAGTCCTCTATAGGGTATAAAACTTTAAGAAAACATTCTCAACTAACATTCTCATTAGATGTAAATGACTCAAATTACAAATAATACTAACCTAAGCATTGTCATTACTTTTAAAATCCAAGTTTCTCAAAGTTTAATTTTTTACTCAATACAAAAATGACCTGGTTCACACTATTAGCTGCCCAACAAACTGTTTAAAAAACTAAAAATTCTTTGTTAAGGAGCAGATTACAAGAAATGTTTTCCATGCTCTTATTTTAAAAAACAAGATTCTGATATAATAATGAATCTAAATCAAAATTCACGAATGGTGGCTGAAATCCTGTCAGCTTTCAGCCCAATACAATATAAATCCACAGTTATAATGCATAAACAATTCAAAATTAAAGTTTATAATGGAAATGTCAACAAGTCATAACTACTACACATTACTACTGATGGGTTCTACTATACTTCAACCAGGCACAGCAGATGTGCACATCTGATAGACAGACTGCTTAGAAAATTAAAGCTATCAGAGCTATAAATAAGGAATATATAAATATGAACATAGCAATGCCAAAGCATTAGAGCCATTAAAAAAAAGTGAATAAGATGTGATGTAAACACATCTGATAGTTCTCTCTGTAAGTCACTTTCCACTGATTTATAAAGCTATGGTTTTATAATTCTTTTAAAAAGGAAAATTTTTCTACACTGCTGCATGCAGTAATTTCATTGTACATTCTCAACTACAATGCCATCTTCAAATCCTCTCGCACAGCTTGACATATCTCATCAGAATTTCTCCAGAAAGTCAGCTTGTCATATTTTCAGCAGCCTAGAACAAGAAAGTAAGATTCATTACAATAAAACCATGCAAAAAGAGGCATCATGAAGATAAATTTGTCAATACTGCACTGTCATTAACAAACAACTATTCCCCATATAACAGAACCACTTTTATCATGGTAATGCAGTGCTTTTCATGTTTTGCTATACATCAGGACTACCTTTTGAATGTACAGTTAACAGTCGACAGGCTAACAGTGGAATAAAATAATGGTTAAAAGCATATAAAACATAATGCTACTTGAAACATTAACCTATGGCAGACCTGTTCCCACAAACTTCATTAGTTTGTCTGTTTCTGTATGTTTCATTTTAGTAAAAGGGATTAAGAATGAAAAAGACCTTTCATGCTACAAGGCGGACAGAACAAGAGCAAAAGATGAATAATGAACATCTTATCTAATCCTGTCTCATCTACACCCTAACTACTATTCTTTCCTAGGTGATTCTGAAAAAATTCCAAGATATCATATCATCAATAAATGCTTTGATACGTTATTTCTAGAGACTTAAACAAACCACCATACTATTATCCTACCTAAAAAATTTCTTAATGTCAATACAAAAAGATATAATTTTAAATAAGTTTAAGTTTAGAAATACGTATTAGTCTTTTAATTCATTTACCTTTCTAACTCCTTTTTATAAGACCTACTTACACAGGGACACATCACAGATTTACACTAAAGTATTAGTATTTTACTAACAGTCCAGGACATCTGTAAGAGAAAGGGCAAGGCTTAGTCCACAGGACTCCACCATAATGGTATAACTTAAGACAATGGGGTACTAAAATAGAAGATACAGGAAAGTAGGTTGTGCTCAGAACTGCTCAAATTAAAATATGTAGATGATGCTTACACATAAATCCTAGCACTACGGAGATAATATAAAAATTCAATGTCAATAAAGAATCACTAATAAAATGCACTTAATTAAGTCCTATTTATACTGTGGGAGATGCGCATAAGGAGATGCTCATTACTGCTGTTGAGTAACTTATGTAATTAGGGAGATACATAGCTAGCTACTTTTACTATAAATGACTTAGACCACATCAATATACAAATCTGTGAAAGTAAAAAGCAAAAAAATTAACAAAAAAGTTACTATTTTCTACACAGTCAACTAAAGAGGAAAAGAAAAAAGTAATGTCTGAGACTAACAGTTTTTTGCAACATTTCAAGATACCCTTGATTTGTTATTCTACATATTCCAAAAAAGAGACAATAAATACCATACAGTGAAATTCTAAATACCAGGAATTCTAGATAAAAATAGAACACAGCAGGAACAATTTCTCTTTACCTTAATTTTAAAACCAAAAGAAATTAACAAAAAAAAAAAAAGAGAGAGAGAGAGAAGTTCATGAGCAGCAATCACACAAGGCAAGGAGAAGAACCTTATGGGTGTAAAGCCAATAAAAGGGTGGTCAAGGAAAGGCAGATGTGGCTCAGCGTAGCTCTAAATCCACCAGCTCCCCAAGTCTGTCCCAAATGGCAATAACAGAGAACAGACTTTAATCCAGGGAGAAGCAAACTGATGAGTTATTCTTTTTCAATTCACTGAAATCACGTATAACACTTTTACTTTTAAAATAGCATGATACTATCTGGAATGATGTTCACCAAACATTATTGCAGGTTATCTCTTTGGTAATCTTGAGTGATTTTTTTTAATTTTTTGTATTTTCTGAATTAAATATCTTAAAATTATAAGGATGCATTACTTTCATAAAAATTATACAGATTATGTAAATTACTTCCAAAAAAAAAAAAGTTCTAATAAACACTTGTTTGCTAGAAACTCCCTAGTTGTTGCTGTTGTTATTTTTCACTCTGTTGCCCAGGCTAGAATGCAGTGGCACAATCAAAGCTTACTGTAGCCTCAAATGCCTGAGCTCAGGCCATCCTGAATAACCAGAACTACAGGTGTGTACCACCATATCCAGCTAATTAAAATAAATGTTTTGTAGAGACAGAGTCTTGCCATGTTGCCCAAGGCAGTCTTAAACTCCTGGCTTCAAGTGATCCTTCTGCTTTGGCCTCCCAAAGTGCTGGTATTACAGGTGTGAGCCAGCACGCCTAGCTGAAACACCCTGGTTTTATTGAGATGTTGCTATACTGTTTCTAGATCATAGGAGAAATGCATTTTAAGAGGCTTCGTGCATATAAGAGACAGATTTTCCATTCAAATAGTCAACACTTTCTGATTCTGTGTATCTTAATTACTGATTTTTACCTCCCACATCTCATTATGGCCTACTGGATGCAGAATAACCAGTATGCTAAAAGCTGAAAAAGCTGTGTTAAATTGGCATTTCTGAACTGCCTATCCTAATATCTCAGCTTATATTTTGCCTAAGAAAATGCTATGCCAAAGCACTTGTCAGTCACCTGCCTCAGATAGGTTTGACTCTGTTTCTCTTACACGCACTCAAACTGTAGTACAAAACAAAAGTATCTTCCTATTATATTAATTCCCTTTCAAACTCAAGCACAGTAAAACAAAAACTCTTACAGTTGTGGCAGATGTGTACTAAATAATTCCTTCCCTCAAAAATTTCAGAAATACACTGATAAAATACTATAATACTCTTTTTTATTTTTATTAAAAGAGTTATTAGATAATATTAAGTCAGGGAATGTGCCCATGCTAAAGCCCAATGACTGTTTTGTTTCTAACAACTTCATCTTTTCCTAAACTGCTGGCTCAGGTATTCTTGAGATTTTACTGGAGGAGAAAACTTAGTAGTTAAGTAAACAGCTCTGAAGTCAGAGAGCCCAAGTTCAAATCTCAAGTCAATCACTAACTGTAAAGCTCTTGAGGTAAGTAAATTAGTCACCATAAGCTGCAGTTTCCTTAGCAGCAAACTACTAACAGTAGCATAGGATGAGTATCCCTTGTCGGAAATGCTTGGGACCAGAACTGTTTCTGATTTCAGATGTCCTGAAATTTTGAAAAATTTACATTAAAGTTGTCCCTTGGTATCCATGGTGAATTGTTTCAGGACTTCCCATGTCACCCACCTCATAGATACTAAAGTCTGCAGATGCTCAAATGCTTTATATAAAAGGGCATAGTATTTGCATATAACCCACATGTATACTCCCATATACTTTACATCATCTCTGGATTCGTTGTGATACCTAATACAATGTAAACGCTATGTAAATAGTTGTTATCCTGTATTGTTTAGGGAGTCATGACAAGAAAAAAAGTCTGTACATTTTTAGTACAGACACAACCATCTTTCCCCTTGTTCCCCAAATACTTTTGATCCACAGCTGGTTGAATCCATGGATACAGAACCCACAAATATAAGAGGACTGACTATACTTGTTGACTGAGCATCCCTAATTAGAAAATCTGAAATGCTCCAATAAGGATTTCCTTTGAGTGTCATGTTGGTACTCAAAGTATGTCAGATTTTGGAGCATGTTGGATTTTCAGATTACGAATGCTCAAACTGTAGTAGTTATCACTGTTGTAATGATAGAGATAATGCCAGTAAAGCCTGTAGAACATACGGTCTAGCATGAGAAAAGTATTCATATAAATATTAGCTATTCTTGTTATTCAGTTATTTTTCTTTCTGCCATATGAAAGCCATAGGTTTGAGTTAAAAAAGAAACTTCTGTATCTAAATAGGGGACAAGTGCTGATAGCCAAGATAATGGGTAAAAGACCTAGACAGCATTTCAGAGATCTAAGAGGCAGCCCTTCTCATGACAGGCCCCGAGGCCTAGTATCAGGACCTAGAGGAAAGGTCATGCATGTTATGCTTTAGCAAAGAACTTGGCTGCATTGTATCCATGTCCTAGGGTTCTGTGGAAGTTTGGACTTGAGAGTGATTTAGAGTATCTGGTGGAAGAAATTTCTAAGCAGCAAAGTGTTCAATATGTTGCATGGCTGCTTCTGACAGCATATGCTCAGATGCATGAGCAAAGAAATAACCTAAGGCTGGAACTTATACTTAAAGGAGAAGCGGAGCATAAAAGTTTAGAAAATGTGCAACCTGTCCATGTGGTAGAAAAGAAAAGCCCATTTTCAGGAGAACTCAAGGGGGTTGCAAAGTAACCACTTGCTAGAGAAATTTCCGAATCTAAATAAGAGACAAGTGCTGACAGCCAAGATAATGGGTAAAAGGCCTAGACAACATTTCTGAGACCTAAGAGGCAGCCCTTCCCATTACAGGCCCTGAGACCTAGGATAGAATGGTTTTATGGACCAGGCTCAGGGCCCTGCAGCCCTCCACAGCCTTGGGACATTGCTCCTTGCATCGCAGACACTCCAGCTCCAGCCATGACTCAAAGTGGCCCAGGTATAGCTCAGGACTCTGCTTCAGAGGATCCAAGCCATAAGCCCTGATGACTTCCATGTGGTGTCAAGCCTGTGGGTGCACAGAGTACAAGGGCTGAGGCTTGGCAGCCTCCACCTAGATTTCAGAGGATGTATGGAAAAGCCTGGGTATCTAAGCATAAGTCTGCTTCAGGGGTGGAGCCCTCATGGAGAACCTCTACTAGGGTAGTGCAAAGGGGAAATATGGAGTTGGAGCCCCCACACGAAGTCCTCACTGGGGCATTGCCTAATGGAGCTGTGAGAAGAGGGCCACCATCCTCCAACCCCAGAATGGTAGATCCACTGACAGCTTGTACCCTGAGCCATGAAAAGCTGTAGGCACTCAACAATGCCAGCCCATAAGAGCAGTTGTGGGGGCTTAACCCTGTAAAGCTACAGGGGCAGAGCTTCTTAAGGCCTTGGGAGCACACCCCTCCCACCAGTGTGTCCTGCATGTGAGACACAGAGTCAAAGGAGATTGTTTTGGAGCTTTAAGATTTAATGACTGCCCTGCTGGGTTTGGAACTTGTTTGGGGCCTGTAGCTTCTTTCATTTGGCTGATTTCCGCCGCTTTGGGGATGGAAATGTTTACCCAATGTCTATAATCCCATTGTATCTTGGAAGTAAATAACTTGTTTTAGATTTTATAGGCTCATAGGTGGAAGGGACTTGCCTTGTCTCAGAACTTTGGACTTTTGAGTTATTGTTGGAATGAGTTAAGACTTTGGGGGACTGTTGGGAAGGCATGATTGTATGTTGCAATGTGAGAAGAACACATGAGATCTGGGAAGGGCCAGCGAGGGAATGATAGTTTGGATGTGCATTCCCACCCAAATTTCACTTTGAAATGTAATCCCCAATGTTGGAGGTGGGGCATGGTGGGAGTTGATAGATTCATGGGGGCAGATCCCTCATGAATGGTTTAGCACCACTCGCTTGGTGCTGTACTCACTATAGTGAGGGAATTCTTAAGAGTTCTGATTACATAAAACTGTGTGGCACCTCACTCTCTCGCTCCTGCTTTTGCAACGAGACGTGCTTTCTCCCCCTTTGCCTTCCATAATGATTGTAACCTTCCTGAGGCCTCCCCAGAAGCAGATGCCACTATGCTTTCTATGTAGCCTGTAAAACCATGAGCCAATTAAACTTCTTTTCTTTACAAATTATCTGGTCTCAGGTTTATTTATTTATTTATTTTAAGACGAAGTCTTCCTAGGTCGCCCAGGATGGAGTGCAGTGGCGCGAATCTCGGCTCACTGCCACCTCCACCTCTTGGGTTCACGTGATTCTCTTGCCTCAGCCTTCTGAGCAGCTGGGATTACAGGTGCCTGCCATAATGCCTGGCTAATTTTTATATTTTTAGTAGAGATGGGTTTCACTATGCTGGCCAGGCTGGTCTTGAACTCCTGACCTCAAGTGCTCTGCCCAATTCAGCCTCCCAAAGTACTGGGTGTCAAGCCTATACTGGCTTGAGCTACCAAGCCCAGCAGGTATTTCTTTATATCAATTCAAGAATGGATTAATACAGAGTCTACCATAAAAATGAGGATAGTAGTTACTAGAGGGGAGAGCAAGAGGGAAAGGTTAGTGATTGGGGAGGGGGCAGAAGGGGGATTATCTGGTGCTGGCAGTGATGGTTGCATAGATATTCTCTATATGATACATTTTAGCTCTATAAATGTGGTTTACCCTTTTTGGTTAGATTCAATAATCAAGAGATTTTAAAAAGCACAAAAACAAACCTAAAGAACTCATTGGAAAATAATCAGAAAGATATGTAAACTGCATGTTTTAAATAGTTGTTTTCTTAAAGGTAAGAAAAAAGAGAAGTCACTTTGTATCAGGTATCAGAAGGTTTTGTTTGTTTGTTTTCCCCTCCATTGACTGTCTTTTCTGTGAGCCCACGTTTTGGACAAGTTTAAAGATGAACTAACTTAAAGTTTCAGTATTCAAAGTGAGTTAGTGCTAAATAAAAAGGGAAATAAAATCACAAGCTTTTAAATCAGAAAGTCTGTGCAAGAGAGAATAGGATATGTTTTTAGTTGCCAATCTGAGCAATTAAAAGGTAGTTAATTTGAATTTGAAGAAAGGTGGCCCTCTGGGAGCCTGGTGGCAGCAGCAGCCCCCTGGTCCCTGAGGCACTCTTGGAGTCACTTCTTCCTTTTCTCGAAGGATAACACATGGGCTCACAGCTGAGCAGCTCTATCAGCCACTGTCCTGTCTGAGGAATCCCAGTAATCTGACAGCCTTCTTTCACTTCATCCTGTCCAAGCTGGTAGTGTTTGTGCTGAGATGGCTGACTTGTGCTGAGATGGCTCTATCACATACCTAATCTCTTCACAAAAGTCTAGCCACACTCTTAGCCCTGTCTCCAGAACAGGTTATTCAGAGAGGCTGAGAATTTTCTAAATTCTCAAATGCTAGTTCCTTTTCTCTTAGCAGGTCCTTACTCAATTGCTCATTTGTGTCACATTATTAAGCAACAAAAAGAAATCAGGCTACACCTTCCACAATTTGCTTGGAAATTTCCTCAAAGAAATATCCAAGTTCATTTTTACATATTCTATTTTCCTTCCAACAGTAGAACATAATTCAGTCACATTTTGTCACTTTCTTTTTTTTTGAGATGGAGTTTCGCTCTTGTTGCCCAGGTTGGAGTGCAATGTTGCAATCTTGGCTCACTGCAACCTCTGCCTCCCGGGTTCAAGTGATTCTCCTGCTTCGGCCACCCAAGTAGCTGGGATTACAGGCATGTGCCACCACAACTGGCTAATTTTGTATTTTTAGTAGAGACGGAGTTTCATTACATTGGTCAAGCTGGTTTTGAACTCCTGACATCAGGTGATCCACCCACCCTGGCCTCCCATAGTGCTGGGATTACAGGCGTAAGCCACTGTGCCTGGCCCATTCTGTCACTTTCTAACAAAGATCACCTTTCTTTTAGTGTCCAATAAATGTTCCCCATTTCCATCTGCATCTTCACTAAAAGTGCTTTTAACATTTATATTTCTAGCAACATTCTGATCCTAATGTTAGTCTCAAAAAAGCCCTGAAGCTTTCCCTATAGCTCTCTTCTCTTCTTTCTGAGCCCTCACCAGAATTGCCTGAACATTCCCAGTTCTACAAACAGTTCCTCTTCAAGGAAATCTAGTCTTTTTCTATCAAGCACCTTAAAACTTTCCAGTCTCTATCCAATACCTAATTCCAAAGCCACATTCTCACTTTTAAGTATTTGTTATAGCAACACCCCACTTCCCAGTACCAAAATCTGTATCAGATTTCTGGGACCGCCATAACAAAGTAACCACATTAGGTGGGTTAAAACAACAAAAATCTATTTACAGTTTGAAGGCCAGAAATGCATACATATTATACATAATTAATCAAGGTATTAGCTGGGTCATGCTCTCTGACAGTTCTAGGGGAGTATCCTTCCTTGCCTCTTTCTAGCTTCTTGTGGCCACAGAAAATCCTTAACTTTCCTTGGCTATTTGTGTCCAAATTTCTCTTGTCTTATAAGGCTACCAATCATTGGGTTGGGATCTACCCTAATCCAGGATGACCTCATCTTAATTTGATTATATCTGCAAAGGCATTATTTCTAACTAAGGTCATATGCATTGGGACCAGGGGTTAGGACTTGAATATACCTCTTCTGGAGCAGGCACAATTTTACTCAACAAATAGCACAATTCTAAAAACAGAGACTTCTAGGAAAATGTAACATGGTCCATGGTAGTAGTAATTTCTTTTTTGAGATGGAGTCTTGCTCTGTCGCCCAGGCTGGAGTGCAGTGGCGCCATCTCAGGTCACTGCAAGCTCCGCCTCCCAGGTTCATGCCATTCTCCTGCCTCAGCCTCCTGAGTAGCTGGGACTACAAGCACCCACCACTATGCCCGCCTAACTTTTTTGTATTTTTAGTTGAGACGGGGTTTCACCATGTTAGCCAGGATGTTCTTGATCTCTTGACCTCGTGATCTGCCAGCCTCAGCCTCCCAAAGTGCTGGGATTACAGGCGTGCGCCACCGTGCGCAGCCTGGTAGTAGTAATTTTTATGATATGAACATACGCTATTAAGCTCCTGGTCTCCTGGTGGTGTTGGATGTTAGTTTAACCTTGTTTAGCCAGGATGTTTCCCATAACTTCATCATTAATCATTTTTCTAAATAAAAACATCTTTATTTAGAATGAACTAATAGGAATCTCCAACCTTTAGTGCTTCAGTAGCCTTGCGAAGCTCCTTAATAACCGACGATAAAGCTTCTGGGTTAATTCCTTGTTCACAAAGCCGTACACAAATAGACAGAGTTTCCATATCTAAGCCAGTATTCAAAATTCTTGAAATCTCAAGCAGAACTGAAAAAAGAAACAAAAAGAAACTTTTTAAAAAAGGCTTACATCATTTAAAAATATGCACATAGTACTTTCATTAATTTATATATCACTGCACAATACCAAGGAATTAGCATAGCATCCCAGATTTTGGAAATCTGCATGTAATACTTTCTTGCCTTTACTTAGTTTTAGAAACTTAAATATAAACTTACACTTCCCTTCACATAACTGCCTTTTACATTTTGGTATATATTCTGGCACTCATTTAATATCTAACACATATCCACCATACTTAGGATAATTCTGAATGCTTTCTTATTTTTTAGTATTCTTTTAAAATGCAGTTTAACTAGTTAGTTGCATATTGTGCCATTTTATGGAAACGCTACATTTAACTGCTCTGTTACTTTAAAAGTTAGGCTACTGTCATGTTTCCCCCATTCAAATATTGATAAGAATCTGTACATACTAAATTTTATTTCATTAGGATACATTTCTAGAAGTACAACTGTTAAGTCGGTAATATACATATTTAATTTGCTGAATTGACGTACAATAGTCAAAAAAAGTAATGTACATATTTAAGGCTTTAAAAGCGTTTAGAAACTTTTATGACAATTTGACAGTGTAAATCATGTCTGTTGAATCTAATAATAAAAATGAAACTTTATATTTTTTTAAACTTCATTTGTATAGTACTACATTTTATTGTAGTTGATAGAACTCTTTGTCTTTTTTTTTTTTTTGAGACGGAGTCTCGCTCTGTCGCCCAGGCTGGAGTGCAGTGGCCTGATCTCAGCTCACTGCAAGCTCCGCCTCCCCGGTTTATGCCATTCTCCTGCCTCAGCCTCCCGAGTAGCTGGGACTACAAGCGCCCGCCACCTCGCCCAGCTAGCTTTTGTATTTTTTAGTACAGACGGGGTTTCACCGTGTTAGTCAGGATGGTCTCGATCTCCTGACCTCGTGATCCACCCAACTCGGCCTCCCAAAGTGCTGGGATTACAGGCTTGAGCCACCGCGCCCGGCCGGAACTCTTTAACATGAGAAGCACAAACAGAGAAACTTGGTTTCCAAAGTGATTTTCTGAATCCCTTCCATTACAGGTTGTAAGTACACCGGTTCCACTGAATTTTGTTTTATGATTGCTTCCCAGAGAGTATTTAGAATATTTTAAGTCAACTGTCAACATATTATTTATTGTTTCCTATATCATTTCCCCTTGGCATTATGCTTAGAAAGTTATTCCTCATGCAAAGATTATATCCACCAGTATTCTCTTCCAGCACTTGAAAGTTTATTTCCCAATACCCCCCATAAGTATTTATCTCCCTGGAGTTTGGGTGGAAAATAGGATCTAACTTTTCCTCCCAGAAATGAGCCAGTTGCCCCAGTAAAATTTATTGAATGACCTAAGTTTTCCCTACCCAACTGAGATGCCACCTTTATCCATAGTAAATTCCCATATACCTACAAATTTGTTACATGTCTATCTTTTGTAAAGGCAACCATTTAATTACTAACTTTATATTGCATGTAGTAGGGTAAACATTCCATTGTCATCTTTCATTTATATAAGCCCTTTTATTCTTTGGATGAACTGGATGAACTTAAAATTTTTCATTAATTCTAAAAACAAATTCAAATTGGATTCTGATTAACTGTATAAAAACTACATATTATTTTGGGAAGAATGGACAAGTTATCAATATTTAGTCACCCATTAATTTAAGTCTAAGTCTTTCTGAAAATTCTTATAGTATTTATCATGTTCATGAGATAGGTCCCTCCCATTTTTTTCATATCAGATATTCACTTTCATCCCTAGAAGTTCAATTTGAATCGGGCGCAGTGGCTCACGTCTGTAATCCCAACACTTTGGGAGGCCAAGGTGGGCAGATCACCTGAGGTCGGGAGTTTGAGACCAGCCTGATCAACATGGAGAAACCCCGTCTCTACTAAAAATACAAAATTAGCCGGGCAAGGTGGTACATGTCTTTAATCCCAGCTACTTGGGAGACTGAGGCAGGAGACTTGCTTGAACCCGGAAAGTAAAGGCTGCGGTGAGCCGAGATCGCGCCATTGCACTCCAGCCTGGGCAACAAGAGCAACTCTGTCTCAAAAGAAAAACAAACAAAAAAGGTAGTTCAATTTGAGTGTTAAAAAAAAGATGTCTTCCATGCGTCTGCTAAACTGTTTGGAGATATAGAAAATGGTTCTGATGCCCTTGTCTGCTAATTCTAACATCTGTGTGATCAGGGGGATGTTTATTACAATTGACTGAATTTTTCACGTCATGGGTCACACTGTTCTGCCTTGCATACCTGGTAATCTTTGACTAGATGCCATGTACTCAGAATTTTACTTAGGTACAGGATATTTTTGTATTTCTATATTCTTGAGCTTTAGAATGAGATACCGTTATCTGGAAATGGTTTGATTCTTTCAGGTATTACTTCTTAGATCTGTTAGGCAGGACCAGAGCCCTGTTTAGCATAGGACTAATTATTCCCCTTACGACTGAGGTAAGAATTCTGAGTACTCTATCCAATGTCTCATGAATTACAAAGATTTCCATTCTGGCTGATAGTTACAGGTACTATCCTCAGCCCTATGTAAGCATGGTGCACTGTTCACTCCAGTTGTTCTAGATGGTTCCCTCCCAGTTTTCTGAGTACTTTCCTCACACATCTGCTAATCAGTGCTCTGAATACTTAAGGGGCACACTTCTACAGATCTCCAGCATTTTTTCTGTGCAGTTCTCCCCTCTCAGGTATTGTTATTCAAACTCTACCTGCCTTGGTCTCCTAGGTCTTCCAAACTCCTTCAGTCTTCTAAATTCACTTCAGTGTGTCCACTGGGTTCCGCCTGGGTTCTCCCCGCTATACTGAGGCCTGGAACTCTCTGAAGGCAGTGAGCTGGGGCAACCCAAGAAATCACTTTGCTTGTTTCCTGTCTCTAAGGGATCACTGTACTCTGATGCCTGATGTCCAGTGTCCTGAAAACCATTGTTCTGTATGCTTATGAGTTTTCTTGGTTGTTTCAAGCAGAAGCATAAATCTAATCTCTGTTACTCCATCTTGGCTGGAAGATGACAGCCCTTCCCATTTTCATTTCTTCAGTTCTTATATTCCAGTTTACTGATACTTTGCTCTTCAGCTGTATCCAGCTGGTTATTCACATTATCTGCTGAATTTATTTCAATACCTTTTAAGATTTCCAATTTCTCCCCATAATCACTTGTTTTATAACTATTATAGTGACTAATTTCACAGCTGTTGATCCTGCCTTCATCTATTTAAGGCTATATTCTTAAACTGTATTTGAGATTGCTCTATTATCTCTATTTCTTGAAGTATAAGCAAGCAGCAAAAGATAGTGGTTAGGAGTGTGATCTCTAGAGCCAGACTACCTGTGTTCAAATTCTAGCTGTAGTATTTAGTAGGCAAGTTACTCTCTCTGTGCCTTATTTCACCATTCTCTAAAGTGAGGATAAGAGTACCTATTTCAAAGGATTAGTGTGAGAATTAAAGGATACACTGAGAATGGTATCCATTTGTTTTGCAGAAACTGCCTTGCAGTCCTTTGGAATGATGCTTGACATACGGTAGAGCTCAATAAAAGAGTTTCCTGTTACTACCACTTTCCCTCTTTTTCATTTTCCATGTTAGTTGCTCATGTTTTTCATCTACCTTACGTGCTTTGTCATTCTTGGCTGAAAACTCATCTTCCATAGATTTATTTTAGGTATCCTGGACTGGTGACACATTCTAAGATAGGAAGCTATACCCTAGCCTTAGGCCTCTAGATCAGGCCTTGTAGTATTTTTGGTTCAGATCCAAAAAACACATGGACGGTGCTTCTCAATCTCTGGCTGTGACAAATGGCACATTTCTGACTCCCAGCTTCCGTGAGGCAGGGTAGCAGGCTTTGTCAGGTTCTATTCCCGACAATTCCCTGTTGTGGTTCCCATGTGCTCCTTTCTTTTGGGGGAAACCTCTCTTTTCCTAATCAACGGAGACTTCCCTTCTTGCTTTTGAACAGGTCTATCCTGATACATTTTCTTACTATTTTCTATTATTTTTATACTCTTAGAGTTTCAGCAAGTGCTCAATCTACCATACTGAATCTTCACTTTATTTTTGACTGTCTTCATAAATGGATTCTACTTAGCCCTTGTATATTCTAAGTGGTTACCATCAGTATACTGGAACACTACATATTACACTTTTTAATCCAGTCACCTTGATGAATTCTATGATGCTTCTAACAGTTTTTCAGTTGATTATCTCCCTTCTCTGTCCAGTTTGTTCTCTTCATGGTAGACCCCCCACCTATAAAGGCTATGCTTATTCCTGACTTCATGCCTTTGTTCATGCTTTTCTCCTCTGCCTTTTATCCTCTCTTCATATAACTCAGTGCTGTTTTCTTAGTTCATCTCATCTTTGGTATTTCTTCTTTAAGCCTTCTTTTCAAATGGACACCTATTTTTACTTCCTATTTTTACAAATCACCTGTAATCAAAAACTATTTCTTTAGTGCCCACTATATGATTAGTACAGGTTGAACACTCCTAATCCCAAAATCTGAAATGTGAAATGCTCCAAAATCCAAAACTTTTTAAGTACTGACATAACACCATAGTGGAAAATTCCACAGCTCATATAATGGATCAAAGTCAAAATGCAGGTGCTCAATACACAGCTCATTCAGCATCCCTGAGGGAAAAAAAAAAAAATTACCTTCAGGCTATGTGTATAAGGCATATATAAAACATAAATGAATTCTGTGTTTGGACTTGGGTCCCATCCCCAAGATATCTCATTATGTATGTGAAAATATTAAAAAAAAAAAAAAATCTGAAATCCAAAACATGGTCTCAAGGTTTTTGGATGAGGGATAATCAACCTGTAACTGTATGTATTTTGTGCCTATTATGCTACTGCTGCAAATACAGTTATGAACAAGGTAGATATGGTCCCGGTCCTCACAGATATTAGTCCAGGAGGAGAGATAGACATTAAAGTAATAACTGATTCCAGATATAAGTAAAATAAAGAAAAAGAGTGGAATACTTCTGAAACAAATTACAAGGGCATCTTACCAAGTTTGGAAGGACACAGTGTTTAGCAAAGACTTGTCTGAAGAAGTGACAATTTCACTTAGACATCAAAGGTGAGAAGAAATCAACCAGACTAATACAGAGGCAGGAGGAAGGGTGATGGGTGAGAGCAAAGAAAACAGCTTGTGTGATGGTTCCTACACTAGAGGGAACTTAATAAATTCACAGACCTGAACTGCTATTGTGAAGGCAATGTAATTAATGGGGTGAATGGGTATAAAATATGAGATAAGTCCTAGTGAAGATCTTAGAACTGTGGAACGCTATTGGAAGATATAAAATAGGAACATGAATAGATCAAATTTGCAATTTAAGGACTTTTTGGCTGAGTATCAAATGAATCTTTAAAAAGTCCAGTTATATCACAATTTTGATAAAAGACAGGTGGGTAGTATGATCAGGAGATATTTAGCCAACCTGAAATGAGTCAAGAATTGAAAGAGCTTAGTGAAGAACAGGAGGCAGAGGAGGTGAGAAAGCAAGACAGACTTCCAGATTTCTTTCTCAAATGTGCAACTGGATTGATGGTGGTAGCATGGACTACCTGTTTCTTTTGCTGGCACTGCCTTGCAGTGCTAGTCAAATGGAATATATATACCATAGATTCTCTTAACTCCTTCCTCTATAATGTGTTTCCTTTTTTTTTTTTTTTGAGATGGAGTCTAGCTCTGTCACCCAGTCTGCAGTGCAGTGGCGCAATCTCGGCTCACGGCAACCTTTGCCTCCCAGATTCAAGCGATTCTCCTGCCTCAGCCTCCCAAGCAGCTGGGAATAGAGGTGCCTGAGCTTACTACTACAAATATATATACTACTATATATATATGCACACACTATATATATGTATAGATATATATACTATATGTAGTAGTGTATATGTATATAGTACTACTATATATACACTAAAGTACTGTATATATATAGTACTACTATATATATACTATATATAAGTACTAAAATATAGTACTACTTTATATATATAAAGTATATATAAAATACTTTTTATATATAAAGTAGTGCTACAGGCCGGGCACAGTGGCTCAAGTCTATAATCCCAGCACTTTGGAAGGCCGAGGCGGGTGGGTCACCTGAGGTGAGGAGTTCGAGACCAGCCTGGCCAACATGGTGAAACCCTGTGTCTACTAAAAATACAAAAATTAGCCAGGCATGGTGGCGGGCGCCTATAATCCCAGTTACTCCAGAGACTGAGGCAGGAGAATTGGGTCCTATCCCCAGCTTGAACCTGGGAGGCAGAGGTTGCAGCAAGACAAGATCACGCCACTACACTCCAGCCAGACTCGGTCTCAAAAAAAAAAGTAGTGTTATGATAAAGACTCTCGTAAGGAATAACTATCAAAATTAAAATTCAGATGCATAGGATGATTTGAGAGGAAAACAAAAATTAAAGCATAAAGCAATCAACAGAGAATACCTAACATATCAAAAAACTGAAAAGCAAAGGAGGCAACCATACACAGTGGGTTGGGCGGGGGGTGTTGTTGAAAAGGCACGACTATTTTAAGAGAATGCACAATTTTAAGGGTATAAGGATAAAAGCAAAGATCTCATGCAGACCTTATTCTAAATAGGCAGGGATAGTTCTTTTCAGAGTGAGCTACACAGATAACTGATTAATACAAAGTCAGCCTGCTGCCTCCCATGTCTTTAACAAAATCCTTCCATTTCATGATCAAAATGCAAATGTAGCCAAGAGTTCTGCAATTCATATGACTTAAAGGGGGGTTCACAAATCCTGCCATTGAGGGGAGAAATGGTACTCAAAAAGTTTTGAAAATTTCACTTTTGATCTCACGGGTTGATTTAAATACTGTGAAACACCACATCCTCTCTCCTTCATTTTCTGTTTTACTTCACTTTTTCATGTTCTTATTCTCTCTATAATCTTCATTTTACACCAGGTTTTCTCAGAAAAGATCTTGATGATGTAGCCAACACAAATCATCAGTTCTCAATTGTACATCAGTGGATCCACCAGAGAGAAAATGTGAGTTTTCTATTCAAATAGGATCCTACGGCCATATACATAAGGAACCTAAGTACAGCTAACATAAGAAAATAGGCTAGAAGTGAGGTCTTATACTCTACCTTTTTCCAAGGAAACATACAAGATAGTAAATTTTTATACACATAGACACACACACACACACACACACACACATACATATACACATGCATAAATTCACTTACAAAATAAAACTAGTAAGTGTTGATACATCGAAAAGGATATAAAAATAGGCTGAATATTAACATTCTCAGAAAAACAGCAAGGTAGATACTGAACAAGTGAAAAATTAGATGCAAAGTCTCTAAAAATGTTATTCTTTGAAAAGGAATGAGTAGCCAGTGTAGAAAAAGCCAGCAGCCCTTCTGCAGGGGCTATGTAAGAAAATGAGGCCGGGTGTGGTGGCTCACACCTGTAATCCTAGCACTTTGGGAGCCCAGGTGGGTGGATCACCTGAAGTCAGGAGTTCAAGACCAACCTGGCCAACATGGTGAAACTCCGTCTCTACTAAAAATAAAAAAAAATTAGCCGGGTGTGGTAGCGAGCACCTGTAATCCCAGCTACTCCGGAGGCTGAGGCTGGGAAGAGTTGCCTGAACACAGGAGGCGGAGGTTGCAGTGAGCTGAGGTTGCGCCACTGCACTCCAGCCTGGGCAACCACAGCAAGACTCCATCTCAAAAAAAAAAAAAAAAAAGCCTACAGTGAAGGAGAAAGAGATACAGGAGTGAGAATTTCGTAGGGTTATCTTTTAACAGAGAGGGAAGCTGACGTAAGTAGCCTCTGGAAAACGTCTAGGCCCACTGCAAATGACATTTAACATCGATCAAACACTCATAATACAGGTGGATGTGAGTAAAAAGGAGACAAAGGAGACTACAAGAGAGATGACATCGGAAATAATATAAAAATAATTGATCATCTTTGATATATTTTTACATGGTTGTCTTATTTAAATATTCACAACTCTTGGAGGCAGGATTTTATTTTAAACAAACAAACAGGCTCAATGTTTAAGTATCTAGTCCAAGTTCACCACAGGGTTATAAAGTGGCATTAGAGGGTGGAGAGAAGGTAACCGGCAAGACACTAATTTCGTGTTCTGCAACGCTTGTGTAGGCTTCACACACACGTGCCTCCAGGGCCGAAAACAGGCGACACCCATAGCACTTGGGCACTGGCGTCACCCGCTTCAAGAGAAAACTAGGATAATTCTGACGAAGGGGGGAACTTAATCATTCGCAGGATATTAAAGGCCGCCTACTTAAGTGCGAAGAACACGAGGCATAGCGGTGACCAAACACCTGGCCCCTGTCCCCGCCAGGATCCCAACCTTGGGGATCCCAACCTTGGGGACCCCCGAAGCACCCTGCGCGGGAATCCGGTGGGACGCGGCGCGCAGGAGGGAACGGGTGTACTGGGTGGGGTGGGCGTGGCGCTGTCACCGCAGGAGATCAGGCGGGTAGGGCGGACCTGGGACGCGGGATAGAGGGGGCGCGGCATTCGCGCGAGAGGGACGCGGGCAACCGGCTGACTAGGGGGCCGCAACGCCTGGCGCGCGCGACAAACTACGCAGCGGCGGAGACAACTCTCAAGGGATAGGGCCATCAGCCCTGCGGCCCTGGCAGGTCCCTTCCAAAGATCTTCGAAGATGCCGTTTGGGGCACGAAGGGGACCTGAAGTCCTCCCCAGGCTCAGCTCCGCCTGGGGGCCTTGGCTCTGGGAAGGCAGGCAAGGTAAAAGGAGTGCAACTGACACTCACCGTCCATGGTCTCCCGCACCGCATTCAGATTCGCCGCCGCGGCCGCCGCCGCCCCCCCAGCGCCGCTGCTACTCGCCATGGCTAAGGCCGAGGGAGGCGGGAGAAGGGCCTGACCCGGAACTGGAGCGCCTTCCTCTCTCCCGGGCAATCACACGGCGCGTCTCCGCTCACGCCGGGCAGGCTCCGCCCCTCGCGCTCGCCGCCGGCGTGAGGCTGCGTTGATTTGAATTTGGAGCCTCGTTCCTCTGCGCGGAACGTGGAGCGAGGAGTTGCTATTCGAATTTTCTACGCGGCCTCCGTGCAATTGGTTGGTTCGCGGATGGCGGGACGACGCGATTGGCCAGTCGCTCACAAGCCCCGTGCCCTGGTTGGCCCAAGACAGCGCGGAAGCGGGGAGTTAAAGAGTCTGTGCCTGACGTGGAAGCTGGCTTGGCCCCCGGGAGCTCCCTGGAGTCGGTATTGGGGGCCTCGTTTTGTACGCACCGGTAGGTAGGTTTTCTATGGTCCCTGACCTTTCCTCCTGTCTGAATGGAGAGGTTTCTTTTCCCAGCTCCTGACTTGCCTGCCCGCTGGCCCCTGGTGAATGGGAGCAGTCAGGGAGTAGGTGTGGAAGACAGGGGCACCAGAAAGAGTGGCCACGAAGGGTTGGGGGCGACGCCTCCTCGGCGCTCCGTCCGAGGAAGCCGGCTGCATCTCAACCTTACAGAAGTAGACTCTTCTCCACCCCACCCCGCCAAGTTGTAGCCTCCTTTGATTGGAAGTAATGCAGAGTCGCTTTCTATCCTGGGAGGGGTGAGGGGGAGGTCTTGGCGAAAGGAGGATTTTTGAAGGAAAGGGGACTCAAGGCAGTTAATTTCCTAGCCCCTGTCAATCATACTTCTCTGACTAGGACTCATGTGTAAGAAAGGCACAAGCTTCTGCATCTCTTACCTGCTTGCTACAAAGAATTGTTTAATAGCAACTGTAGTTGGATGGGGTATCCGAAGAATGTTCATAGTGTTGAGACGTGAGATGATGAATTAAAAAAAAAATTGTAGCTATAAGTCCTTTAGTTGAGAAGAGATTTGTGCCTGTTGTAACCTTTAGATCTGAATTCATATTTGATTGCTGCGTATAAGCCACTTCACTTCTCTGAGCTTGTTAATTCTTTCACAAAATAATATCACTAATAACTTACTGCTATAGCTTTCAAGGTTATTTCGAGGATCAGTTGAGAACATTTATATGTGATACTTTTTTCATAAGCTGTATCATGGCCCCAAGAGTGTTAGGTTTTGAGTTGTTTTTGTGACACATTTGTCGAATACATTTTAATAGGTAAAATTAATATCTATGGGACTTTGTAATTTTAACATATGTACTCTTGATTTCTCTTTAGTTTTCTCTCTGTGCTATGGGAGATGTCAAGGAATCAAAAATGCAAATAACACCAGAAACTCCAGGAAGGATCCCTGTTTTAAATCCTTTTGAAAGTCCTAGTGATTATTCTAATCTCCATGAACAAACTCTCGCCAGTCCTTCTGTTTTTAAATCAACAAAATTACCAGTAAGTTATTCCTGACTAGTGTTTACAACTAATTTTAAATGTAAATAATTACAAATAATTTTAAATGTAAACATCTGTCTTTACAAGGTAAGGAGGAAATACATGATGGAGCATATATAACTGCAATGTACTTTTAAAAATTGTAGTGTTCATTATAATCTAGTGGTTAGGTTAATAAGTTAGCTAGAAGTTTTTTTTTTTTTTTTTTAAGTTCAAGAACAACATATGTTAGCTTCCTGCAGTTGTGGGTGTAGCTACATTCTGTGGTTGATGATATAGCTGCTAATACATTAGAGAAGAAGCTGCATCATCTAATATTCTGTTCTCACTTATCTGGCAAACATTATTTGAGTGTTGCTATGTGTCAGATACAATGCTAAGCAGGGATTACGCTGTGAACAAGTTAGGATCATTAGGCACAAATCCTTAAGGAGGTTATACTCCAATGTAGGAGTCACAAACTTTCTGTTAGGGGCCAGACAGTAAATATTTAAGCTTTACCGATCATTTGATCTGTGTCACAACTACTCACTTCTGTCTTGAATCACAAAAGCAGCCATAGGCAATGTGTAAAGAGATAAATGTTACTCTGTTCCAATACAGCTTTATTTATGGACACATTTGAATTTCATATAATTTTCACATGTCACAAGATTTTATTTTTTGTTTTTTTCCCCAACCATTTAAAACTGTCAAAATAATTCTTAGCTTGCAATCTATTATAAAAAGAAACTAACCCCTATTTTAATGTGTTAGACTAGACTATTACTCATCTAATACTAGACGAGTAATATCAGGACAGTGTGATAGGTGATTAGTGCTTAGCACAATAGTAATATGAAGGAAAAGTGTTTTTCGGGATATTAGAAAAGGCTTCATCACTTTATCTTTTTTTGTTTTTTGTTTTTTGTTTTTTTTTGGTAGAGATGGGATTTCACCATGTTGGCCAGGCTGATCTCGAACTCTTGGCCTCATGTGATCCACCCACCTCAGCCTCCCAAAGTGCTGGGATTACAGGCATGAGCCACCGTGCTCGGGTCACTTTATCTTATTTTACTGTTACTTGCTACACTGGATAAGTTCTTTTGACCTTGGATCTTTCAACCTACCAAGTTACTTAGAAAAACTGCAAGTAGGGTGGCTGTTTCTGCTACACTTTCATATAAGTTTTACAATGAGCAGGTATGTACTAGTGGAAGGTCCAGCAGTTTATATTGAGTCATTTCATCAATCTGACCTTATGATTTCTAATTGAATCATATTAAAATTTATCTCTTGGTCTTACTAACAATAAATAATAGATTTACGGCAGCTTAATTCTCAAAGTTGGAATGTGTAGCATCTTGCATTTTTAGGACTGAATTTGCCTAGAATATATTTCTAATTACAGATTAGGATTTGGATAAACCTTTGATTCAGTTGTATGGTTGAGTACAGAAAGGCAGCACTGGTTGCCATTCATAATTATTTTAAGAATCAACTATGTTATGAGCTTTTGCAGCCATCTCCAAAGTGACTAAGGACTTTAATTCCAGTTCCTTCTTAGTGAAAGTAAAGATTTTTGATAACTGTAAGAGATTTTTAGTTTTACGTGGGCTTAGTGTATCACACTGATGAGTGTTAATTATGAAAGTTTTGTATCTTCATTACTCTGTTGTGATTTTTTCTAGTATTATGTAATTCCAACCCAGGTGGAATATTTTGTTATTTTAAAAGACATACAGACTGGGCGCTGTGGCTCATGCTGTAATCCCAGCACTACCAAGGTGGGCTGATGACTTGAAGTCAGGAGTTTGAGACCAGCCTGGCCAACATGGTGAAATCCTGTCTCTACTGAAAAAAAAAACCCAAAAATTAGCTGGGCGTGGTGGTGGGCGCCTGTAATCGCAGCTACTCAGGAGGTTGAGGCAGGAGAATTGCTTGAACACGGGAGGTGGAGGTTATAGTGAGCTGAGATTACACCATTGCACTCCAACCCGGGTGACAGAACGAGACTCTATCTTAAAAAAAGAGAGAGAGAGATACAATTAAGTCAGTTGATCTAATATGATATGATTACCCTTTGCCATTTAATTTCATGGTAAAGTCAAATTTTAAAATACAACCTTTAAAATATTTTTGTATTATAAACACATTGGTTAGCATTTTGATGAACTATTTTAGTTTGCCTTTACTCATAAGCTCACTTTCTTTTGTTAAGACTCCAGGGAAATTTAGATGGTCTATTGATCAACTAGCTGTAATAAATCCTGTAGAAATAGACCCAGAAGATATTCATCGTCAAGCTTTATACTTAAGTCATTCTCGGTAAGTTTTCCTTTCTTGCACTTAAGTGTAATAACACTCTCAAGTGAAGAGAGGTAGGAAATTCTAAATGTTGAGTATTTTTCTATGTAAAGATACCAGGGAGAAAAAATTTTGATGCAGATTTCTCCTATCTAAATGAATGAGTTCAAAGAACTACATTCAGAAAGATTTTCTTGCCAACAGTTCGAGATCTGGGTAGATACCTTTTTCTTTTACAGGTTACCTTTTCCCTCTGCTACTGAGGGGACAGCTCTATACCCCTAGCACTCAGTAAAGAGAAGAGCATTTTGAAATTTGCACTTTTCTACATGGTTGTGACTTCTGCCATTAACTTGTTTTAGTTTGTCTTTTTGATGGTTTGGGGTGAAGCAAAATGCTGTTTCATTGTTATCTATGTTTGGGGAAACCTAAAATCCCCTTAAAGAGTTAAGTAGGCTTTGAGTGGAAGGGTATCCATTAGCAACAGAGCGGTTTTTAGACATCATCCAACTGTAACAATTCACTTGGAATCTGAATTACATTTTCTAGAATTCTGCATATCACCCAGTGCAGTCTTACTTGTCACTGTGTTGTTTAGGTTTCAAGGCACTAATGTACTGCAGATTTAGTTTTTTATTACAAAGTATAAGGTCATATTATTCATTTGTAGTTTTAGGGACTCTTGTTTATATGTCTTATAGTCTGATTTTTTAATATTTGAAAAAAATCAAATACATGGTATGACCAGATTTTAATTTGCTGTCCTAAGGTAGACACGTTGTTAGTCCAAAATAAAGGATAATCCTTTTCCCTTTGACTTAAGAATTCAGTCACACAAAGTTGCACACATATTGAGATGTTCTGGTGAATACTTACCGGCTTTTCTCCTCCATCTTTTTGCTTGGTAACATGATGACCATTCATTCATAAAATTAATGTCCATCCAGAGTGTTAATAGGAAGGGAACAGAATGAGGATAAAGCATGAAAGAATTTTAACTTCAATTTAAATAATACCTTTGAGGCTGGATGTGGTGGCTCACATCTGTAATCCCAGCACGTTGGGAGACTGAGGCAGGCAGATCACTTGAGGTCAGGAGTCCAAGACCAGCCTGGCCAACATGGTGAAACCCCATCTCTACTAAACATACAAAAACATTTAGCCGGGCGCAGTGGTACACACCTGTAGTCCCTGCTACTCGGGGGACTAAGGCAGGCGAATCGCTTGAACCTGGGAGAAAAGGTTGCAGTGAGCTGAGATTGTGCCATTGTACTCTAGCCTGGGGGACAGAGCAAGACGCCATCTCAAAATAAATAAATAAATAAATAAATAAATAAATAATACCTTTGAAAGAGAAAGTGAGAATATCTAAAAACAAAGTCACAATTAGTGACTAATTTTTTGTTTCACACGAACTTAATTATGCTTAATTATT